AGAGAGAGAGAGAGAGAGAGAGACAGAGAGAGAGACAGAGAGAGTGTGTAAGAGGGAGAGAGAGAGAGAGTGTGTATGTGAGGAAAGGCAAGGAGAAGTGTTCACATTATTGAGGAAACAAGAGAGGGGATGGAAAACTTTTTTGGTACTCAGCACAACAAAAAGGCCTTCCTGCTCTCACTGGAAGAACAAATGGCAAAAGAGACAGAGGCAGACCAAGATTACCTTACAAAGAGATCTTGTACCAGTGAGAGATGGGAGAAGACCAGACTCAAAATTTTATTAAGTTTTATTTTATTTGACAATATCAGCCATTTTCGATTTCGCAAAATCGTAGTTACAATTAGTATAATATTGTCTTTTAAAAAAAATTTAATTTGGGAATAAGAGCTATAAGTTAATAGTAAGTAAGTTCATTCAGTGGTTATGGCCATTGGCCCACATCACATCATATAAAACACTCATTTGTTAACTCTATCCTACCTCGTGTTTTACTATCGTATCCCTACAACGTGGGGAACCTTGTGCCACTACTATCCAAAGAGGAAATTTACTCGTTAATCCGATCCGTACTCTTTGCATAGCAGTCTGTTAAAGAGATCTTTTGAGAAATACTGAAAGTTTCAAAGAGATCTTCAAACTAGAAGTATTCTAAAACGTGAAAAATACAACCCTGGGGGTACAAAATGACCCCAGGGCGTATGGATAGGGTTAAATAAAGTTTCCATAATGAAAAAGTACAGGTGGTGCACATATCTCTTATCAGGATAATACCAAGTGAGGTCTCCGTTCCAAAAGCTTCTCTCGTGAACGATGCCACAACAACTACCCCCATGTTGGTTCTCACACAGTGGAGACCTTGGGTGAGCATAGTAGTTTTGTTTCAGTAAGTGTTTTACAGCACTTGCAACACAATAAGGTCATATAAGTGCCGAAGATTAGAGGTGTTACAAGAGAGTAACAATAACAAACACAAAAAAGAAGGAGGGGAGATAAAGACTGTAGACGTTTGATAGGAAAGAAGAAGCAAACCACACTAGAGCCCCCCCCCCCCCCAACTACCCAGGAGCATAGTAGGTCAAGTCAGTTCTAAATGGAGACCTCAACTGGACCTTTATCAATTTATTTAGAGCATCGAAGCAAAGCAATGAGTGGCGAACCATTACCACTGAAGCCTGTTTCAGATCTTGCACTTGAAGAAAAAGAAAATCTTGTAACACTTTGCAGTCACACATCCAGCAGTACAAAATACGCCATCTGGTCACCCAGCCAGGAGAGCGACTGCAACTGACTTCTCGGGCCTGGCGCAGAACCCAGAACTGCGCCAGGTGACCAGAACGGATCATTTTCATTGGCGCATTATTGCGCCAAGTGACTGCAAAGTATTAAGTAGGCACTTACCTTGTTCCCGTGAATGAGATGACTTCAGTTTTTTATGAGCTTGTTCTAAAGGCCTCTGCAGAGCTGTGAGGAATTCTGGAGTTGCTCTCACCCCTGTCAAAGAAAAAAAAAAAAAGGGAAAAACCATTTCTTAAAAATGGAAAAAGACTCATCGACACAAATAAAACGGTCACTTGTAATATTAATATGGTAAACTGGAGCAAATTAATCCTTGACTATACGGAGGAAAAGTAGAGGAGGTACAAAAATTGTTATTATCCAACCAGCTTTCTCTTAATGTGAGCCATACCATAGTATAGCTAGTATTGCAAATAATGATAAGACACTTTAATGATAGATTATTTTAATCAGATGTCACTGTTCACCTGTACACTAGATCCATCTCTAAATTCAGAATAAGTTCACAAATTACATCAGCAGATCACAAAGTGGTTGAATTAAAAAAACCCAAACTGAACACCTCTCCAGATGGCTCTCACTTTTATATTTCTATTTTTCTCCATCCCCAACCATAACCTACTAGCTGCCTGTGCTGTCTAGCGGCTGTTGGGTGGAATGATATGTCCACAACAGTCAATGGCTATCTCACACTGTCTACACAATGGTTCAGCAAAAGAGTCAGAAAGCCCACAGCCAGAGACACTGCCGCCGGGCATTTTGTCAGCTTATGGCCAGAGCAGTGCTTCCCAACCTGGGCAATATCATCACCCACATGAAAGTGATTTGATAATTTTGGTGGGCGGTGGGAGCACCCAGGTAGTGACTTTACTTTACTTTACTTTACTTTTCCGATCCAGCAGCTATTTAGGTTCTAGCCCTTCGGTCTGTCGATATGGCAAAGAATTTACAGGTTTTAATCAGCAGTGCTTTGTCGCTGTATAGAGTATTTCCGATGTCTGAGGAGGCAGGTAGGTAGGTGCTATGCAGGTCGCAAAGTGCTGGGCAGTTAAAGAGGTTATGTGGTACTGTTTCATCCTGGCAGTCGCACAACGGCCAGTCGGGTGGAGTATCCTTGCAGATCCTATTAAGGTAGGAATTTAGTGGTATGTGTTGTGTTCGCATGTGAAAGATCGTGACTTGTTCTCTTCTACTCAGGGAATTTATTGCGTCTTTAGAGTTGGGGGCTGTCATGTGTGCAAATACAGTTCTTCCAGTTTTGCCCATTGCCCATCCATTCAGCCACTGTTCCCTGGTGTTGCATTTGATGATTAACTTGGCTGTCTGTTGTGATACTGGGTTGTGAGGTTGTGTTTGTGAAGCTCCCTTTTTGTCCAGTTAGTGACAGCTATTAAATAATGCCTCGCTTGGAATTGTCGTACGGATGGGTGGTATGAAAATGTTAGTTTCTTGAAGGAGGCAAAAGCGGGCGCTAGTTATAAAAAGGTTGATATGCACTGATTTACAGAAACGAAAGTGGTACATACATGATACTGTCTCCGAGTACAGAGAGAAGAGGGTGGCCACTTTTCTCTTGTCTCTGTTCAGCCCTTTGAACCACTCAAGAATCGGGTCTAGATGCATCAGCGTGGACTTTGATCTGAAACAGAAAAGTATTGAAGTAGGGAGGAATGTTAAGCAAGCATTCTGTTAAACCTCGCATGAACAAAACGAAAAATCTTGATTATCTATTAACATTCAGATCATTACAATATCAATTGTTTTTTGTTTTTTAAATTTTTAGTAAGTATTTTACAGCACTTGCAACACAATAAGGTCATATAAGTGCAGAAGATTAGAGGTGTTACAAGAGAGTAACGAACACAAAAAAGAAAGAGGGGAGATAAGGATGATAGATGTTTGATAGGAAAGAAGGAGCAAACCACACCAGAGCACCCAGCCAACCACCCACAATATCAATTGTAAGTTTTGCAAATCAAAGGCAAAAATGTTAAAACGCTGTTTAAAAACCAGTTTTGCAACTTCAGACTCTTTTACTTTTGATTGTTGACCAAGCATTTGAAAAGGAGCCATGCGATGGGGACAATGAGGTTTGAAAAAGAATCAGTCTACATTAATAACAAAACTGACACAGCCTCAAAGGATGAAACCAGACTGCCTGACACAACCGAAACCCGTGTCGTGATTCACGCACTGACAGGCTCGAGTTTTGAAGTCTCAACTTGTAACAACTCTACATCTTTACAATTTACAAAAAGTCTAAAAATAGATTCGTTTTTTTTCCCCTGAAGAAAAACGTTTTTCCGTCTCTGTAAAATTTTTTATAAAAAGAAACACAGTTGAAATAGTCCTAAAACAGCCACTCATTGTCAAGAGTACAGTGGTTGTCTCAGACGGCTGGATGTCTGGGACAGTCTCATTATAAGGTGGAAAAAAAAACCCAACTCGCAAGGGGGGAAGTGGTCGATAGGACACGTGATTGTCTTGTACAGGTGATTGTCTTACACAGGTGATTGTCTTGGATATGTGATTGTCTTGTACAGGTGATTGTCTTGTACAGGTGATTGTCTTATACAGGCGATTATCTTGTACAGGTGATTGTCTTATACAGGCGATTATCTTGTACAGGTGATTGTCTTATACAGGTGATTGTCTTGTACAGGTGATTGTCTTATACAGGTGATTGTCTTGTACAGGTGATTGTCTAGGATATGTGGCTGTGAGACCAGGCTCGAGGGCAGAGGGAGTCAGGACATGGTATCAATAATTTGCTGATCTGTGACAGGATACTTGGTATCCATAACTTACTGATTGGAGACAAGATACTTGAAATCGATACTTACATGTCCTTACAGTTCTCGGTGACAGCTGAGAACTCTAGATGAGGCTTGCTGTTCTGATACTTTCTCCAATTGTTCCAAACAAACAGCTTTGGATCTGAAATATTCAGAGTACATCATGTCCTGAATGAAAGAGCTAATATTCTTAGAATTGGCACAAAATAAAAACATCCTTATGATGAAACCATTGCATTAAAAAAGTTATTATGTGTAACAGTAATGATTACTGAAATCAGTGGAATACAAGCAGTCAATCTGTCAAATAGTGTCTCCAATTGCAAGATTGAGCTTTCTTCAAATGAAATTTCCACTTTGTACAGAAAGGTTAGTTCAGAAATATATAACACACTGTGTTGTTTGTGCTAGACTATGATTGAGCATTACAAGATTTCTTTTAACAGAATACAAGAACAAAAAATTAAAATTAAATAGTATAATAGGATGATAAACCACAAAAACATACAAACATTTCTTAAAAATCAATTCAGCCATTAAAAAATACACCCTCTTTTATTCAAATGTAGCAGTGAAAGTTAAACACTCATTCTGGATAGAAAATATTGGTCAGGAAACACACTAATCTAACAGAAAAAATAATAAAAATAAATTGCATTTATATAGCACATTTTAACAAAGAAGTGCTCAATGCGCTGTACAATAATATAAAGAACATATGCAGTGCACAACTCCAATAGTGATCATCCTCTTTCTCTCTCTCTCTCTCCAGTACATCCTTGAGTAAAGACAACCCCACAAAACTTACCCAGACACCCTCGTACACATTAATGACATCACACAGTCATAAATTGTTACAGAACAGAACAGCATGAATAAACGATACTGAGAGAACATAATAAATACTGAGAGAACATAATAATCTAACAGAACAAATTACCTGATCCTATCAGTCCTTGGACTTGTTCCGAGTATGCAGACAAGTGCCTGAGGATAAATAAAAACCATACCAATTAACGCTTGACTTAAAAAACACAACAGACAGAATACCTATCACGCCTTGAATTTAAAAACACATCTCTTTCTTTTTAATGAAAGTTTGCAAATATTGAAATTTTGCTGTCAGACTTCACTTGAGCAAATGTCAGTGACATATATTCAGTACAACATGGACAGGTCGAACACAGAAGGCTTGAAATCATGCGTCCGTCGAACTGTGAATGCGGTCCCGGTTTTTTCTTCTTCTCTACCTTTGTAAGATATCCCTGGAACTACGGATCCCTTGAACTACCAAGGCCGGTCCCAACGAATTCGAACTATCTGTGTTATACTGTATGTATATATTACAAACAAATATATATATATAAACAAATTGTAATTCTCATTAGCCCAGTATATTACTTACTTTTCTCTCTTTCCATCCAAGGAGAAAATCATTCGCAACGCTGTGACGATATAAGCCACTGCCAGCAACTCCTGTTTGCGATACACATCTCTCTTTCCCTCCAAGCGGTACTTTGCTTCCTCCATCAGCTTGCAGCACACGCCCTTCATGTCACCTGAATGGGAACAGCAAAAAGGAAACAAGAAAATTTAGCAGCTTTCCTGTGCAAGTGTTGCATCTGAAAGAACATCTTCTCAACTAGAAAATTACAAATAGCCACCACGGATAATACTTCAGTCAGAAAAGCACTAACAATTACAATTTTTAAATGTTGTAAGTCGTGATATTCTTGACTGACTTGAGCATATTCCCATGTATTTACGGGACGCGCTGCCGGCCCAGTGGCCTAATCCCGTGTGTCTATAGGATGCACTTTATCGATCAATATCTCAGGTGTTTTTCAGTTACAAGCTTCGAGAAGCGACGAGCCAACAGTTGACCCACTTGTTTCGTTTCGTAAAAAATTTGGTGAAGTTATGTGCGATACATTTTGAGCTGTAACGGACTAAGTCAGTCACCCCTGCATTGCAATAGATGATTTTATTATAAATCGAGCACACACAAAATTTGCATAACCCCCAGTCATTGCCATTTCAAAATATTGATAAAATAAAAACTATTTGGACAAATCAGATGCAGTTGTCTTTTTCTATGAGAGCATTTCTTTCTTTTGCTGCATTAAAAAAATTATGATAGCTTTCGCAGTCTTTTTATGGTAAACGATTAAGTATACCCCAAAACTGTTAGGCTGTAATGGTTGTTGGGTGAAAAATAGCTCAGGCTCAAGTGAGTTAACTCTTTCAACCCCATCGGATGCTGGGAGCGTCCAATACTAGTGACAACTGTTTCGTTTTATTTAGCGCTAGTTTTTGCTTGTTTTTCGGAACTATTCCAGAAACAAGTTTTTTAAGTAATGACTGAGCCTTTGCGTCTGCCATTTAGAAGTCGGAGGCAAGCTTTTGGGGTTATAATGAGACATAGTGCTCCAGGTTTAGGTGACTGTTGAAAAAACTTCGGGACACGGTGGAAAAAACTCAGGGTTTAAAGAGTTAAATCAACTTTTAAGAATGGCCCATACGTAGAGGCAATCCTCAGTGAATAATACTCTTACACTCTGCATCCATCCCTCTCAAACTTCCCAGAACTTTGCTAGGATACAAATCTGTATCACCCATACTGATGGGGGAGGGGGGTTTGTTGGTGGTGTTACATTCAGGGTGTGTCAGAATAAAGTCTTTGAAGGTCACAGGACAAAAAGTTTTGTTTGTTTTAGTAGAGGTTTTACAGCGCTCGCAACTGCATAAGGTCATAAGAGCTCCAGAAGACTAGAGGTGTTGCAAGAGAGTAAAACTCACAAAAAAAGAAGGAGGGGAGATAGAGAAGATAGATTTTTTATAGGAAAGAAGGAGAAAACCACACCAGAGCACCCGCCAACAACCCACAGGATAAAAAGTTTGTACAACATACCTGGCAAAGAAAGCTCATCAACAAATCTACGTATCACTGTCTGTAAACAGTTGGTAGAGAGGCTGTGAATGCCTAAATACTTCATCAGTCTGTTCACTTCCGTCAGCAGTGTGCAAACATTAATATCCTGAGATGAAAAAAAGTAGAACAATTTCAAAACAGAGCAATTCATAATTGTAAAGGCACGACGTAAAACGTCAGGTCAAGAATGTCAACATTTGAAACTCTTTGAGTAAAATAAAATCTTTGCTAGTCTGTAATGAAATAGTAAAAATAACAATGAAGACAAATAAATTTTAATCAATTTAAACCATTTAAGGGGGCTCTCGTGGCCTAGAGGTTAAGGTGTTCGTCTCTCATTCAAAGGTCCTAAGTTCGAATCCGGGAAGCAACCGAAAAATTTTCTACTCTAAAATTGTCTCCTTTCACCTCCTTTCCTGCTCTCTAACAATGTTCTGTCATCTGCTTTCGTCTCCACTTTCTACCCTCACCCAATCACCTCCTTTTCCCCCTCCTCTGGGCTCCAGACTCTTTCTGCAGCCTTTCTACTGCTACTCCTTGGCTCCTTACTGCTGCCTTTTAGCCACACCCCTGATCCTATGGTAAGAAAGACCTACACCTAGCCTTCTCTGACAAAGGCGAAAAATCTCAGAGGAAACCAAAAAACTCAATCACCAAAAACGTACGAGCTTAATAAAAGATATAGTTGAATACTTACACCAGAGAATATATTTGCATCTTGCTGAGAAAATACAAGGTCTTCTGGAAGGACATCTGTAGCTGACAGGTATGGAATTTTGCCATCATAAACCCATCTGAATAATGAAATACAAGCAAACGGGATACGGTGATTTGAACTTCCAAAGTGAAACTTTCATTCCCAACCCCTTCAATGCTAGAGACGAAAATTCTCAACCATTTCCACTTTCTGCATCTTTCCCTCTGAAGAAAATTAACCCATTTTAGTCCCAAACAAGCAAATAGACCTAAGCTTTATACATTTTATGTAGGTTTAAGGAGAGAGTATTCTTCTTGAGTAATCTTAGCGCCCATGCTCTGTGACTGACATTGTGCGAAAATTTTGAATAGCTAAATTATTACTCCTTGATCGTTTGCGCTGCAGTGTGTAACTCAAATGAGATATTTGATTTCAACCTAGAAGAATATAGACACTTGTATGGTTGATGAGTCATGGCAAAGAAAGTAATAGCAAACAGAAAAATGAGAAAACTAGATATCTAAACATTTGCTCGATTGGGACGACTAAGTGGCATGAAACTTTTGAACTCCATCAAATATTTTTTTGTGTGATTTGGGAATGATATTAAGAGATGCAAAGATCCCAGGAAAGAAACAAATCTAAACAGAAGTTTGAAGCAGCCCAGGTAACCCGCCTGGAGAACAATATACTTATTTACATCTGACAATCTCTGAACATTTCAAACCTAACACCTTACTTTTGCTGTAGACAGCACACTAATTTCAATCATTGGGGGTTAGGCATTTTTCTTTTTATTGTTTACTCTAAGAACATTATACTTCTCGGAAAGTTGAGGTTGTCTCAGAATGCTTTCAAGTCTGCTGGGGTAATAGTATAGATTGTGAAGCACATAGAGCTTGAGCGGGGATTTGCGCTATACAAATACTATCTATTATTATTATTATTATCATTATGACTTTTCTTATTGTGTAATTTAACTAAAAATACCTGATGACATCACAGGGAAGAATTCTGGGGTTTGAGATCATCAACCCGATGTAACAAATGGCCAACGTTTTAGGCATGCACATCCACTGTGGGGACTTCTCAGTATTCTGAAAGGTGAAGTGAATTTTTTTTTAAAGTGTTTCACTTGCAACACAATAAGGTTATACAAGAGTAGAAGATTACAGATGTTACAAGCAAAAAAGAAGGAGGAGAGATCAGGACGATAGATGTTTGAAAGGAAAGAGGGAGCAGACCACACCACAGCACCCGCCAACTACCCACATGAAGTGAAGTAAGTCCACACTCATGACAAAGTCCGTACAAGAATGAGTTACAATAATGTTCACACTAAAACAACAGAACTGGGTTGCTGAACTGATACACAAATATGTTGAAACGAGAGCCAAAATAAACGTGAGCAAAATCAACAATTTCCCCCCTTATCATGCTGTTACTTCAAAACTTATTTCCACTAGTTTTCAAAAACAATTCAACAGAACAGTAGCGTGAACATATTGCCAAAATAAAGTATTCATAGTTACACAGCCCACTGTTGTGGATAGGTAACACATGAAAACTACAGGCGAAAAACGAAGGTAGTTCCAAACTGGAAATTGTGAGGGTACCAATTTTAAAAGCTTGTGGACTGATAACTTCACATTTGTTTGACTGGTGGTTTATTGTTAAGTGTTGTTGAATGGGAAATCTAACCACAATAATCAAACAAACAGTTGAACAGAAATACAATTATGAGTCAACATGAGTTCAAAATTGGAACGCTGACTATTTTCAGTTTGTGACTACAGTCGTTTTTCCTCTGTAGTCTTCCCATGTTTTCCTTTCTAAAGAAAAGAAGGCTCCAAACAAAATAAGAAGAAATTTGTGGCTTCTTGAATTAATAATAATATCTTTATAACCCCTCCCCCCCCAAAAAAAAAAAAGAAAAAAAGAAAGAAAATCCTACAAATTTGACATATTCTACCAGTTGTTCCTACACAACCAAAGTAAACACTACAAAACTGACCATGAGTATGAGAATACTTAACAATGACAATCTAAGATAACTTAAGATTGGAAGGAAGCAGAGCGATTGCTCCAAAAACTCCAAGAAAATGGTAGGCCCAAAGTATCAATATTTCCTTCCACATATCTACGCATTGCTTCAACTCCATTTCTAGGAAAAATGGAAGACCCCAAGCAAAAACATTATCAGCAACTTTCAAGCTCAGCAGTGACCTTTATGGCATGCATGGCTCAGTTTATCAAACAAAATCCTTCTGTTCTTTTGCACATGGAAAAACTAAATTGCCTTAGTAAGGCGTAAAAATCAGAACTAAATTCCTAACAAACAGCATCATCATTGCTTTCATAGATGCTCATCACCATTGTCTAATCTATTTTCATATCCCATCATCATCATTATTATATTTATCAAATTTCTGGACACATATCGCGACCTCAGTGCTTTCTTGCTGTGTCCCCACTTTTTTAACCTATCCGTACGTCATGTTTTACTATCGTATCCATACGACGTGGGGAACTCTGTGCCACCACTTTCCAAAGAGGAAACTTACTTGTTAATCCGATTCCGTACGCTTTTCATAGCAGTCTGTCATAATGATTTTTTGAGAAATACTGAAAGTTTCAAAGACATCTTCGCACTAGAAGTATTCTAAAATGTGAAGAATACAACCCCAGGGGTACAAAATGACCCCAGGGCGTACGGACAGGGTTAAGCAGTGAAAATGTGACATCATCTTAAGCTCACTCATTGTTATGAACCTTTTTCACTGCTATTAAAAATGGAGATACGTCAAGAAAGCACTGGGGTTGCGATATTACAGACATCTCTCTTCAGGGGCCACAATTACAGCAGCATCAGCAGCAGCTTCCAAGGGATTTTCCACCATAACAATGCCTAGCAAATCGTGCGTTGTACGCTTAACTCTAACATCAGGCACTCATTAAAACAGGACACAGGACCAATGTCTAACAGTCTCATGTCATACACATAACTAACATCTGGCACTCATAAATATAGGACACAGAACCAATGCCTAACAGTCTCATGTCATACACACAACTAACATCTGGCACTCAAAAAAATAGGACACAGGACCAAAAAAGGCATACTTTTTTAATTCGGAGCCTGGTGTTATAGTCAGTCAACTTCCCCTCTTCTTCGTCAATAAAGCCTTCCTCCACCCTCTCCACCAGATCTTCCAAATCTGCGCCCTGAGCCGTGCACGGGTCCACTGACGATGCAGCACGGTTCTGTAGACAGAAAAATAAGACACAAGGCTAAAACTTAATCCTAGCTACAAGGTGCGAATGTCATTGACTAGATCTAACTCTTACTACAAGGGAGGCTATTCCTACTTTGTTGTTATCCAAATCTGCAGCATCACAAACTTTCCTATAACTCCCCTCCTATTTGTATAAAATGTGTGTGTATATAATATAATATTGTGAACTCACAAGAAAAATGTTATATATATATATATATATATATATATAACATTTTTCTTGTGAGTTCACACTAATACTAACAGCTAATTTTAAAATCCACAATGCTGCATATTTTTTGCTGTTATTGCTTCTACTAAACACAAAAGCGCTAATTGAGAGAAATGGGCAGGGTAAAAAAACCAAAAAAAAACCAAACATATTTGTATAAAATAAACACCAAACAGAGTAGAAATGAATGATCCAAGCATTACACATTAGACAGTCTGATTATTGATCAGATGAATTAGCCTAGGTCTGATAGATTTTTGTAATGAGATTAAACCATTGGGTGTTGTCATGAGCCAGTGGAACTGATACGCCATATACTAAGATAAGATAAGATAAGATAATACTTTATTATCCCAGAGGGAAATTTTTCTTGGCTGTTCAGGACCGTAAAAACACATGCAGGTATACATAGAAATTTAAATTATATATTAGTTACTCTCATTAAAATTCAATATGAAAAGAGAAGTAAAGCTGACAAAAAGTACACATATCACACCAGATGCATTATTCAACCACATGCAGGAATTTAATTACAAGAGTTAATAGAACTGCTGAGTTGACAGAAAAACAGATGTCAAATTTCCTGGCAACAGCAAAAATTGTTTGGAGCACGCCTATAGCTCGATTTCTTAGACGTCCAGTTAAGTCTACCATCTTTCTTGGGGGACAATAACCAAATGTTATTGTGGCATTTCGTAAAATCAGACCTAAACTGCATGAAAAAACAAAGTTAGAAAGAAAAAATCTGCAACATGGTCGAGATAAAAATGTCAATTTAAAATCTTTTTTAACGTTGGTGCTGTGAACACTTATTGAAGCACCTAAATGACAGTTTTTATAGCATGATCTATCATTTAGAAGTCTTAGTGTTACTCACGTGGAAGGAAAAGCAAAAAGACTCAAAAGACTACATTTTTAAAATACACAATCAAATAGTGGTTCCTTTTTTTATCACCAGTACAAAAAAAAAATCACATACCATACCAATTTTCCGATAAAAGTTTGTGAGTCTAATGAGATGACCACCCAAAGCTCTTTATATCTTGGGGAAGGGCAAGAAAGGGAGGAAATTCTGAGAGGGACCGTGCTAATTTGGAGCAAGAACAAAATTTCACTTATTCAGAACAACACCAACTTTGGGCAGAAGAACAGAAAAAGAAAACAGGTTCAGAGAGAGCCTCTGCCAAGGGCAGATAATTATATTAAACAGAAAGAAAGCATTGTATTACTAACAAAGCATAGTCACAACTGAGTCCGCTTAAACTGAAATCAGCAAGACCACCAGGTTTTCGGTTTTTAGAGATTCCTCAAATAGAAATAAAAAAGTTAAAGATTTTTCTTCTTTCGGTTTACTACTGTTGTAAGACTCAACAGTTTTATGATTAGCCATGGTTAGGAACAGCCATGCTGTAGTCTCTTTACTTTACTTTAATTAATCAAAATAATTGATTGAGTACACCTGTGAGCCAAAAGATCCAAATGAACAACGACTTTAGCCAAAAATCATATGATCCACTAGATGTTCATCACCTTTTTAACCCTTCCAGCCCCATAAGCATATATTTTCATCACCGCTTGTACCTCCCACTGTCCCAAGAGCGTATATTCTCAGTTTTGGGGGTACCCAATTTGCGCATCTTTCGAAATTAGCGAACCTAATTAAACTTTAATTTTCATAATATTTGTTCATTTACATTTAAACATTGTTATATATTTTATTATCTGAACCACATTACAAAGATACTACATCACTCTTTAGAATGCATGCCTCTTTTTCTGAAATACTGCTGTATTGGCTGGGACTGGGGTTAGGAAGTGCACAAAATGGCCGCGACTGGAAGGGTTAAAACTGTAATACTACCTGCTGTGCGATTTTCTTTCCTTTCTTCAATGTAAAAGGACTTTGATGATTCAGAGGGTTGTCAAATGTACCTCTGTGCAGTTCTCTGGAGAAAAAAACAAGCAACATCATTCATTTATAGATGTACACTGCGCTCATATAATCTAAACACAGGACAAAACAGCCAAATATTTTAAGATAGTTATCTATTCCAAAGGGGAAGACCACGTGGAACCTGGAGACAGACAGACAAACAGACAGACAGACAGACAGACAGACAGACAGACAGGTATGGAGGGAGAGAGGAGAGGGGAAGACAGACAGAGAGAAAGATAGAAAAAGAGACATGAAGCATGCTATAACTAAACAGCAATGCAGCCCCCTTCATTCTGAGGAAAAGTCAGAATTTATGTCTGCTAATGATAGCGTTAGCTGAAATTATGAGCACAAGGTAAGAAGTGAGGGCGGACCCAAAAATATTTGTCACGATTTTTCAAAAATTAACCAGAAATAAAGAATAGAATTTCTTGACTTCCTAACCTATTTAACAGTGAATTACTTATGTCATATGGTCGCATTTAAGCACAGGGGGGTTTTCCTGGAAAATACGGTTTTGAGAAAATCCAAGGTAAAGTTTTTGCCCTTTGTTCAGAATCTTTAAAAGACAAGAGGAGAGTTTTCTCTATAACCAAACAAATATACGCACCAACGAAACCAATCTTCTCCTATAGGTAGGGCAATGCCCACTTTTGGTGTAGGTCAAGACTTCTGGAAACTCTTGAAATCTGGGTTAGCCCGCTTGTCCTTAAAAGCGACCATATGTGACAAAAAGGGAAGTGGACAGCTTTAATTAGACAGATTCGGGTACGGTTGTGAAATACCCCCCCCCCCCCCCCCGGTTCAAAAACTCAGATTTCGGAGTGTTGCGGCAAAAAATCATCAGGGCTGAAAGAGTTAAATGGAGCTATACATATTGGTAGTAGAAGCAACAAAGCATACCTCAAACGGCCAATTTTAGTCTCTTTAACAAGATCTGGAACCACTTTCTCTTTCTTGCAAAACGCAATGCCAAGTTTTGACAGATAGTTTGCCCATATTGCGAAAGCAGTCTCCTGAAAATGAAAATAAAAGATGAACACATCAGACATAAGCTTCATTGATGAAGCACAGGTTAACACTTGCCGTTCCCTATGATAAAAGTATTTGTGTTACAAAGTGGTGGAAGCAGGCGCTCGTCAGTTTTTGGACATGTGGATTTATTGCTTTCCGTAAAAATAATACTCAGATATCATGAATAGAAGTCGAGATCTTTGTGATTGAAGGAGGTGGTTTCAGAGGTAAAATTAGCGAGAAAATGGTCGCTAAAGTTTGTCGACTTCTAAAGCTTAAGAGTCCTTTGAAACTGCAAATTTATATTCTTGTGCCTTAAATCAACATTTTTCAGTAAAATCCACACAGAAATGTGTTTTAAAATTGACCTTAAATGTGTTGAGTCAAAGCAAAAAAATCGGTAAAAATTGCCAAACAGACAGAAAAATACCCTTTTCTTCGATTTCATTAATTTGACAAGCACCTGATTTCACCACAATGCCTCACATTTATAGAAAAAGTCAAATAAGTCACTGCCTAAAAAAACAACAACTAAAAATTGACACTAAAATGTTGGTATCAGGTCATTTACATGTACATATTTTCAAGTGAAAGATTGAATGAATGCAGGCAAGTGAGTATTAAACCAACAGGGTATGTTTTTTGTTTGTTTTGTTTTTGTAAAGTGTTTTACAGCGCTCGCAACTGCATAGGTCATATGAGCGCGCGGGACACTCCTAATATTTTCAGTTGGTAGGAAATTTTGAATTTTGCCCGGGTGGCGGCCGAAGCCTACTCTAATCGATTTTAGACCAACAAGGGATCTTTAACGTGCGCAACTTGCACACGGGCCCTCCGAGATTTTTCGCCCTTGTCCGAGAAGGCTAGGTGTAGATCTTTCCTACCAGAAGATCAGGGATGTGGCAGAAAGACAGCAGTAAGGAGGAGCCAAGGAGTAACATTAGAAAGGCTGCAGAAAGAGTCAGGAGCCCAGAGGAGGGGGCAAAGGAGGTGAGGGGGTGGGAGGAAGAAAGTGGAAATGAAAGCAGACAACAGAACATTGCTAGAGAGCAGGAAAGGAGGTGAAAGGAGACAATTTTAGAGAAGAAAATTTTTTGGTTGCTACCCGGATTCGAACCCGGGACCTTTGAATGAGAGGCCAACACCTTAACCTCTAGGCCACGAGAGCCCCCCACCAACGTTTACTCAAATATGTGTTGGCAAAAAGGATAACACAAAACTAACTGCATCGAGACTAATTTTACATAAAGTTCAGAACAGAATGCAGACAATTTCTTTAATTCTGATTTCTGGATTTATCTGGAAAATCAAGCACCTCTGATATGCATGAAAGATACCTAAAATGTAATGATATACAACTCTTTATGTGACCTAAAAAAAAAGGGACCAGATTTACCTGCAATGTGATATCAGCACCCAAATTGATTAGAGCCTCTGCTTGAGCTATCAGAATGTACTGAAATCCTTCATAAATTGTCCAGGGACGGCCGAGTTTTGATTCTGTGAGGGTGAGGGCAAGATGGAAAGTTAGTCACTCCATGAAGAACTGAAAACACATAAAGTTGTGAGGGAAAAAAAGTGCAGGCAGAGTTTAGTTTTAGTAAGAGTTTTACGGCACTTGCAACACAATAAGGTCATAGAAGTGCCGAAGAATAGAAGTGTTACAAGAGAGTAACAAACACAAAAAATGGAGGAGGAGAGATAAAGACGATAGTTGTTTGATAGGAAAGATAGAAGGAGCAAACCACACCAGAGAACCACCCACGTACAGGCAGAAAATAAACAAAATTGTTCTCATGTTTGTGAAGACGCAGAAGCTACTTACATTACAATTCATTATTTCAGACATATTGTACACATTCTCAGTTCAGTTTTAGTAGGAGTTTTATGGTACTTGCAACCCAATAAGGTCATATAAGTGCCGAAGATTAGAGGTGTTACAAGAAAGTAACAAACACAAAAAAGAAGAAGGAGGAGAGATAAGGACGTTTGATAGGAAAGAAGGAGCAGACCACACCAGAGCACCCTCCAACCACCTACAGACGTTCTCAATCTTTAGGCAGATACATGAGGGTATAAAATAATATGGGAAGAAATTGAACTGACGATAAAGAAACAGAAGAGTAGATAAAAAGATTAGAGTGGAGTAAATAAAATAGGATGGGGGAGGGAGGGAGTGAGATAGAGAGAGAGATAGAGATAGAGAGATAGAGAGATAGA